ATTAGTAGGTTTTGAAGTTGTTAGGGGGCCATGGATAACCAATGATCACATGCTGGCTTCGCCACTGATTGCAGTACTCTTGATATAATTTTATTGTATTGTATTGTACACAATTATCTACTACAGACTATACTTCTTTCTATAGTACCAGATAATCCTATCCTTTGTAGGTACATTAAGGTTAAAAACATATTTTTGTCAATTAGTCTTTAATTCATTTTATCAAAGTCCAAAACTTACGATTAAAATACCTAACTAGATAATAATGGTTTACGATTGACCATCAGAACAGCAGCCAATTTGGAAATCATGACCATGGCGGTCCATTGAAATTTCAAACCATAGGTGTCCTCAAGAGAATTCATGTATAGTACAATATAAATTTCTAGAAACCCTAGCTGCAAATTTCATTGCCTATAAATATGTCCAACCATCTCAACTTTCATTATCATATCATCGCTCGCTTCTTCATTGGCCCTTAGTTCCTTAAAGAAAAAATGGCTATCTATCCTAGAAACAATTACCTCCTAAACCTCATTGCAGTGGCGTTTGTTGCAGCAGGAGCCCTGTTGCCCACAAGTGTAACAGCTCAAGCTGCGGTGGGTGATATTGTCACTCAAGCATTCTTCGATGGGATCATCAACCAGGCTGCTGCAGATTGTGCTGGCAAGAACTTCTACACACGGCAATCTTTTCTTGATGCTGTGAACTCGTATTCCGACTTTGGCAGGACCGGTTCGGCGGATGACTCCAAACGTGAAATTGCAGCTTTCTTTGCTCATGTCACCCATGAGACTGGCCGTAAGATATTCCTATTTACTCTTTTTACCTCCAACTATATAATGTTTATGAAAACAAAACAAAAGAGATACAGTTGAATTAATTAAGTAGTTAACGTCCTAATTAACGTGCAATTATACTAAATCTTTGTTTTGTATTCTTCTTTAAATATTATCAGACTTCTGCTACATAGAAGAGATAAATCGTGGCACATACTGCGATACAAGTCGAACAGATTATCCATGCAACCCTAACAAACAGTACTACGGACGTGGACCTCTCCAACTAACATGGAACTACAACTATGGAGCTGCTGGAAACAGTATTGGTTTTGACGGCTTAAACTCACCTGAATCCGTGGCCTCCGATCCCGTCCTTGCATTCAAGACTGCATTGTGGTATTGGATAACCAATGTCCGTCCTGTTATAAGTCAAGGATTTGGAGCCACAATTCGAGCCATTAATGGTGCTGTGGAATGTGATGGTAAAAGGCCTGACCTAGTTCAAGCCCGTGTCAACTATTACACTGATTATTGCTCCCAGTTTGGTGTTGATCCTGGCACTAATCTCTCTTGCTAAATTATAATTATAATTATCAGCTTAATTGTATGCTTCGAATGAATAAATAATGCAGCCTAAAAGAATATAAATGAATTCCAAGCCCTATGAAATAATTAAGGAGAGGGCTACCTCCTGTTGTGTAGTCCACCATATAACTTACAAAAATAAAGATCATCGTGCTCAGAAGGTTGGCCACTTTCACATATGATCTGATTGAAATATAATCCTATAATTAATTCTTTTTATGCCTGAGAATCAACCATTGATCCATTGCAATTCATATCATAAACAATCCCCGTTTCTTTGATTTATATAAAACTGTTATTCAACAATAATATTTGAGAGTTTACTCCAACAATGCACATGACAAATTGTCAAAACTCTAACATTCGAGTTTTGACTCCAATTGTTTTTTCTCCAATACAAAGAATCACACCAAAATGGTCAAAGCCACCATGCTTTTTGAATTTTTCTATTTAAACACCATAATTTACTTAAGTTCGCCCCAAATTTTATTTACACTTAGTTAAAAAATTTGAATTTTAACTTTTCTAAGAACAACTCATTTGTTACCTAAATGCCCTTAAACACCAACACGCCACACCCACAAACCCTAAACTTTAACTTGAAATCTAATTGTTTTAAATTTGATTCAACACTACAAGCAAGGGTTTTCAAGTGTATTTTTTTTGTGTTTCTAGAAAGTTAATAGCTCCCAACAAAGCATCCATGCTGAATGCAATTCTAGAAAACACAGGTATTAGTGTACTAAAATGTCCGTACCTAAATATATTGTAGTGAATTAGTGCACAGAAGAAAATATGCAAAAACATAAGTATACCAAAAAATTCCGTACCTAAATATATGATACTAAACTAGTGTACCGAAATGTCGATACCTAAATATATTATACTAAACTACTCTACTGAAATGTTCATACCTAAACATATTATACTAACCTAGTGTACCAAAATGTTTGTACCTAAATATATTGTAATGATTTAGTGGCACATAAGAAAATATGCAAAAACATAAGTGTAACAAAAAATCTCTACGAACATATTTTCTTGTATACATTACTTACCATGATGAGAATTAAAATTTATAATGTTTTCATAAAATTTAATTTGAACACCATAAAATTATAAATAGAAAAGAGAGATAGTAAATACATATATATATATATATATGCTAGCATTAAATAGAGTCTATGGACTAAAATCAATTTTTAATCTTGTATAAGACATGTTTCTAAATTTCATCTTATTTAATGATTAAAATCTAGTTTTCAATAAAAATATTATCATAAGTTGAAAAGTTGAAATAATATGTGCTATTTTGTCTTTTCACACAATTAAACATTAAGATAAAATTAAGATTACGTGGTGGAGCGAACTTAGAATATGGGTGGTATTTCTTTTTCTTAAAAAAAAAAAAAAAAAAAGATATTTGATTATAAACCATGGTTATCCACCATTTTGGGCCTGAAAAGTTATAAGAATAATGACTAATATACAAGGACGATATGGACATTCTAAGATGTAAAATAAATATAAAAATCATGATTGGAGATGTTTCTAAGTGTAAAAGAGTGTTTTTATGAGAACACTTTTAATGAAAGGATTTTTAGACCCAATTCTTGGTTAAAATACAAAAGAATTTTGGAAAATAACTTGAAGTGCTTCATGCAAAATACATAATTGATGCTTCTTCTCAAATGTAGTTGAAATGCTTTTGGAACTCGAAAATACTTTCACCAAAAACATTTTCAGTAATTATAAAAACACATCCAAACATGCATCAATAAACCCATCAACTACCTTTTATTCATCTGTTAGTAATCTTTCTGAAGTCGAAAAATATTTCCTTTTTTTTTTATTAATACAACTATATATTTACATTAAGAATGAAAGATTCTGTCATAATAAATTGACCTATAACAACCATAAATACAGTGCATAGCTGGGCCACCTGTTTCCTGTGGCCGCGGGTGGCTCGTAGTCTTGGACCATGATATGGTCTTGTAATTGCAGTTTGGACCATGATCTGGTCTTCAAACAGGATACCTGCTACGCCGGCTTAAAGTCTAAGTATAGGCGTGAGTTGTAAATCTAAGCATAGTCAAGTTGGCTATAGTGCTCCTTCTATACATAATTCAAATCACCTTTTCAATATATTTACACTAATGAGTGAGAAGAATAAAGCAGTATTGAACTCGTTATTACAAGATTCAAACCTATATAGAAACTTTTATAAAATGACGATCTAGACAACAACGAGAATTGGCCTTTGTTTGTTTGTTTGTTTTATTTTTTTTTTCTTTTTTTAACAAACGATATATCTACAATAAAAGGATGAAGGAATAAGTTAAACCTCGCAATAAGTTAGCAATAATGTGATTCAAATTTGCCTTTCACGAAAATCTAACCTAAGATCTCTCACTTATAAGTGAAGAAAAATACCACTCTAGAACTTAATACTAAGTGGTGAGTTGGTCTCTGTTATATATGCTTGTGTCTTCTTTGTTTGCCGAAATATTTACGGGGACCAAAGTATCAACCCTTATCTTCTCCATTTCAATCCCGACACCATAACCGGACAACTCATGTCATTGGCCAGGCATACATACAATCCTGCGTTTCAAAGGGTGAAGAGCTGTTCCAAGAAAATATGTTGGGACACTGGATTTCCTTTCTGGTTGCAGAGATGAGTGTGAAGATGAGAAGATAAATGGAAATTATCGACGACATAACCAACCCGTAATGACATCTATCTCTAGCTTTATTACAACAATATCAACAAAATTGTTAGAACACCAAGACGACATACTCAATATCTACGACATCTCAATACTATATCTATACAAGGACATCAATATGAACATCGTATCAACAATATCTACACTATCTCAATAGTCTATCGACACGTATCAGCAATATCTAAAATTTCTCACAAGGGTACTTTAGGCATTTTCATCCTTCCGCCCCTGTCATTAGTGTCTTTCACTTCTTTATTTCTATTTCAATAACTAAAGCTTGAAAATTTTCCATTATAGCTAATTACCCAAAAATATTAGTCAATCATTTACCCATGTTTGTTTTCTCACTGCCTAAAAAACAACTCTGTAACAAGGACACTCAGATGAGTAAGGCAAACATCATATATGAACCGAAGATCACCAACAGCAACAAGCTGGGCAATCAAACAGCCACTGGATCTGCCTGCCACACTATTTCTTCATGGTCCTCTCTCCAGTATAATACTAAGAAATAATAAGACCAAAACACACTACAGCATGTTAAAAGGGAGGGCAGCGGGAGCTTAGGTAACCTGCGGCTGGTGGTGGTTGAGGCTAATAACTATTGGGGCTGGTCATCCGGTGTGGCGACAGTGGTGCAACAGATGGAGAGAGGGTAAGAGAAGGGGGATTGGGAATCATGGTGAACAGAAGACGATTTTAAGTCAAAATACAATAACCGGAAATGTATTTACCCTACTTACTAAGGACCTTGATCACATACCAAAAAAAAGAAGAGAAATGTTGAAAATTTCAGACTAAATTATTACTTCTTATGCTAACAATATCTTACAAGCTGCTTCGATACTATAACAGAAATTCGTACGAAACTTTCACTTTAAACCACCAACAGTTTTCATACCAAGGTATTTGCTTCTACATAGTTTTCCACGGCTTTGTTTTGGTCTGACAAAAGAACACGCATGCACCTTCTTTTCTTTTGGTCAAATTCACACACGTTTGGGTGGTACGTATTGCACCTGCTCATCTTCACATAAATTCTGCAAAACGAGAAAAGAAAAATTATTCAAATCAGCTGAGACATAATGTGATTGATCAATGAAAAAGAACAGGCAAAAAGGAACCATAACCCATAGGCAAAAAATGATAAGAATCAGCAGTAATTCCGTTGAAGCTCCTATTCCCAAAGTAACAAGATTGGAAGGATCTAGAGAAGGATTTATAAACTGCTTTATTGGTAATTCTATCAATGAAACCATCACTATGAATGGGGCCATTGAGGTATAAACTACAGAGAATCTGTGGTATTAAAAAAACAGAGAACAAAAGAGATTCTTTTTTATATGCTTTACGACCCACAGACTGGCAAATAAAAGAACAAACATGAGCTCAAACAACAGCTTAATGTCCAAAACCCAAATCATAGTGTCTCGTCAGGGTATTTTATTTTCCTATGTTTTCGACTTCAACCAGTGATAAAAAGAACATAATACAAAAGCTAGTCGTATTTGACTGATTTGTTAAGTACACTTCAATTCCCTTACTCCTAATGTCTTGTATGGCAGACTTTTTCATTCGTTTGAACAATATGGTAGCTAACTAGCTATTGGACAGGATGCCAACCCAAAAGCCATCATAGATCGAATTTCGAATGGCATAGATTTATTGATCGACCATATATTATCGTAGAAATGGTAGAAGTATGATTGTCCACTAAGGAACACTGGAACTTTGTATGATACATCGGAAAGATATTGAATTACCCGCAAATCCTCTGAAAGAACCTCTGAAACAGCAAGAGTGTAAACACCAGGTACAAATCTTCCTGTAAAAGATTAAAATCTATATCAAATTACTGATAAGTACATATAAAATGGAAAGTTGTATGCATAATCTAGAGCATTGAAAATGCTCCAAAGCAAACAAAGCAGAGCGGAATTTAGAAGCTTAAGGGTTAAATCCACTGACATAGCTAGTGTTAAAAGAACGCAAATAAGAGACATAACAATCTATACAAGATGACATATGCCTATGAAAATCAAAACAGAACCTAAAGAAACGTAAAACGGGCAACGAAAGGAGAGCAGAAAATATTTGTATGAACCCAACATTTCACATGAACCCAATAGTTTGGAAAGAACTAAATAACTTTGTAACGAGTTTTTATGCATAAATGCGAGCTGAAAGGAAAAAAAGCATACCAAGTCGAAGCCATTTTGCAGCCCAACTCCTAGTTGGATCCGTAACTGAAATAATCCTGCAATCCAAGCGATGCATCGATCAAATTAAAGAAATAGAGAAAAAACAGAGAAAATGCGAGAGAAACGTAGTACGGAGGGAGGGAGGACGAACCCATTGAAATTGGGGGTGGTGCAATCGGCAACACGATCGAAATCTTCCTCCATCTTGAAGAATGGGCAGTTCTCGCATCCTGATTCTCTGAACTGCATTTTGTATTTTGTATTTTGTATTCGTATCTTTAATTGCATTTGTTTCTTAAATTCGTAAATCGAATCAGTGGGAAAGCAAAAAGGGAAACCCTAACCTGATCGTAGGTCTTGACGAGGCGGCAACGGAGGCAAGCCCTAAGCTCGTGGCCGAAGCTCGTGGGTATCTGGGCTGGTTGTACGCTTCCCATCTCTCTCTTTCTTTCAGATAATTCTGCTTTCTATTTATCTGATTCAATTTCCGTACAATTGACTGCTAATAATATCAACTTATAGTTGAACATATTAGTTCCCCACCTTCCTTCAAGATTATTCTAGAAATATTAAAGTTAGGGGCGTGATATCTACGCATCATTTTTTACTTCTTACACATCCTTTTAATTTTCGACAGTCAGATCAGATGAATTGAAGAAGATTAATGGACAGAAATTAACAAAGGATGTGAGAAGTAAAAAGAGATGTGTGAATAGCACACCCCTCAAGTTATTATATTTCAACTTTCTTTTTTTTATCGATATGAATGAAAATCCCAAAATTAAGCTACGGTTATCCACCCTAACCACAAGTCTAGTTTCCACATCACCAACGAGTTTCAAACCCAAAATCTCAAATTTTTAATTTGAAGGAAGCCTCACAATATTGGTTTCAGCAAAATGATATGACAAATAGGTTAAAATTTTAGTTCATCGTAAATTAAGAAAAAATGTATAAATTCATATGACATGTCAAAAAAAATTTCCTTCAACGTGTTATGCTTTTGTTGACCCATTAAGAGCATCTTTATTTGATTCCCTAAATGACCTCCTAACTAGAATTTTGGGAGGATTTAAAAAAACAATAATAGTTATCTCCAATTATGCTCCATAGCCATAACGTAAGATAGGAATTCATGTAAAAGCTCCTAAGTAAGAATTGAGAAACGATCTGCAATGGCTCTCTACAATTAATGCTTGCTGTTTTAATATTATTTTAAATAAATAATTAATTCTTATTGGCTAATTATTGATATAGTCATTGAGATTCTTTAAAGTAGAAATATGTTATAAAGCACGGATACTAAAGAGTGAAGGGAATTAGAGTGGCAAATTTGGTGATTCATGAAAACTCAAAGAATCCCAATTTGACAGCTACTGTGATTGGACAATTAAAAAGTATTAAAATTATTTCGATCATTAATTGATGGATTTCATTAATAGGATTATACATCTTAAAGCATACAATTATATGATAAATTTGATTTATCACAAATACTCTTGAGTGGCACACCCCGATCTTGATAATCACATGGATTTAGAAAAGAAATTAAATTGACAAACAATTCATTTAAGAGCATAATCAAAATGTCCTGAATACAATGCATAACCTTTTCTATTTCTTTTAATTCATATAATAGAACAAGTAGATATATATGCACATCCCCTATGTCCCATACTATATATTTTACTATTGCAGTGGTGGCTTAGAAGTTCTATTATATAAACTAACACTCGTAACTTAGTCATCCAAAATTTTCACTTTTGTTAGTCATTTTGTTTGACTTTTTGTCGTTAGTCTCGAATTACGTACCCAATGAAGGCCATGTGCACTTTGGACTGACTTGAAACCTAATACCTACCAAGTGCAAGCACAACTACACAAAGATCTTAACCACTACCATAATTTTCAGATTTTCCTTCTCATTTGAGGAGATATGTAGTTGTCAAATGATTTTATTTCCTTTTCCGCATAGCAATCAAAAATTCACATTATCAATAATTATCAAAACTTCTTCTTTTTTGTTTTCAGACAATAATGATAACCATAATAAACCAATTCGCAAAAACAAAACACATTCATAACAATATGAGTAATGCTAGGGAGACTAAATTTGTAAACTAAATGATGTGTCATCAATAGGAAATGAGCATGTTTATCAACATTTAAGTAATTAACTTTCATGTTATTTAGTTTAGAAAATTTAGTCTACAAATTTAGTCTCTCTAACATTACTCCAAAATTAACTTCCAATCATTAACTTTCATGTCATTTAGTCTATAAATTTAGTCTCCCTAATATTAACTTCCAATCATTAACTTCCACATGGCACGCTCAAGGCCGTTGGATTTCAACGGATACTTTTTCTAGACCGTTGGGTTTCCAATAGTAAAAAAAAAAAAAATTCAAACCTCCCCCAACAGCTAGATGATGTGGCACAATATCAGCCATTGGATTCTAGATCAATGGTCCACGTTATTCGCCTTTAAAAATTAAAAAAAGATCAGATATGTTACCGTTGTGCCATGTGGCACAATTTGGAGGGTTGGATTTCAAATTGTCTTTAATCCAACATCAGAAATTAATTAAGTTAATAAAAATTTAATAAAAAATGTAAAAAATTAACAAAAATTCCTAAAATTTCCAAAACACAAATATGTTGTGCTTATGACGTCACCGAAGAACCCGTGCAACATGAGCTATTAGAAAGGGATGGACGTTACAATGAAAGGCTTATTCAACGATATACTTCACTTCAATCCTTATACTATCACAAAGCCCGGAAAATTGACTTGATAGAGTACTAGTGGGAATTGAAACAAGCTCAAGAAACTTAAGTTCATTTAGTGTGTTTTTTTTTCTTTTAATTTGGTGTGTTTATGTAAATTTAGCGAAATCTATCTCCAAAAATTATCCAACACGTTCCTGAAATACATATTCATTTAAATTTATAAGTTTTATTTATTTCTTGTTCTCAGCATTTGCATTCAATAAATGGCTTTCGTCACCCTCAGGTGTCGCCCAACTCGTACCTACCTTGGTATTCAGGGAATTTTGGGATCGGGGTGTGTCAAATTTCGGATAATGACATGTGGTGCAACAAGATGGATTAAAAATCCTATACGAAATTACAAATAAAATTGCTTTTTTATTATTTTATAAAATAAAAAATACTAATATTTTATTGCCTATTGTCATGGCTATTTAGTTTAGGGGTGGAGATGCAAAATGCAATTACTGTTCATTAAAGATAGTTACTATTCACTAGAGGGGATTCAATAGACAATTGCCCTGGGGGGCCTACACTGGAAGTGTTCTAAACAAAAACAACTGTGAAAGGTGCTCAAAAGTCTGAAATAATTCTAAACACAAGACTTATTTTGAGATAACAACTATTTTTTTATTTTTATTTTTATTTTAAGGGGGACAACTGGTGGCAAGCCACAGTTATCCATCATTTTCGGGGGCTGAAAAGACTCACAGAGACATTTCAGCCTCCTCCTAGCCACAAGTCTGGTTTCCATACCAGCAGCGGGGTTCGAACCCAATATCACTAGTTTTTAATTTGAAGGAAGCCTCGTAATCCGTTTTTTACCACTGGGTCACCAGCTCGTGGTTAGATAACAACTATTGGTTTCTGCAAAATGATATGACAAATAAGTTAAAATTTTGGTTCCTCTGATAAATTTAAAAGAAAAAGTGTATAAGTTCATATGACATGTAAAAAATTAAAAAAAATCTCTTTTAACGTGTAATGCTTCTGTTGACCCATTAAAAGCATCTTTAATTGAATCCCTAAATGACCTCCTAACTAGAATTTTGGGAGGATTTAAAAAAAAAAAAAAAAAACTCCAATAATGCTCCTTAGCCACCGCGTAAGATAGGAATTCATGCAGAAGCTCCTAAATAAGGACCGAGAAATGAACTCCAATGGCTCTTTATAATTAATGCTAACTATTTTAACATTATTTTAAATAATTAATTAATTCCTATGGGCTAATTATTGATATAGTCATTGGAACTCTCTAAAGTAGAAATATGCTATAAAGCACCAATACTGAAGAAGGAAGGGGAATTAGAGCGGCCAATTCGGTGATTCGTGAAAACTCAAAGAATCCTGATTTGACAGCTGCTATGATTGGACAATTACAAAGTATTAAAATTATTTTGATCATTAATTGATGGATTTCATTAATTATATATTATGCATCTTAAAGCATACAATTATATGATAAAATTTGATTTATCACAAATACTTCCTAAGTGGCACACCCAATCTTGATATTCACATGAACTTAGAAAAGAAACTAAATTGACAAACAATTCATTTAAGAGCATAACCAAAATGTCTTGAATACAATGCATAGCCTTTTCTATTTTTGTTAATTCATATAATAGAACAAGTAGATCTGCACGCTTGTCCCATTCTATATATTTTACCACTCAAGTGGTGATTTAGAAGTTCTATTATATAAACTAATACCCGTAACTTAGTCACCCAAAATTTTCACTTTTGTTAGTCATTTTGTTTGATTCTTTGTCGTCAGTCTTGAATTACGTACCCAATGAAGACCATGTGCAATTTATATTGAGCTGAGACCTAATACCTACCAAGGGTCAAACACAACTACACAAAGGTACTAACCACTACCATAATTTTCAGATTTTCCTTCTCATCTGAGGAGATATGTAGTTGTCAAATGATTCTATTTCCTTTTCCACATAGCAATCAGAAATTCAAATTATCAATAATTATCAAAACTTCATTTTGTTTTCCAGACAATAATGATAATCATAATAAACCAATTCTCAAAACCAAATCACATTCATAACAATATGAGTAATGTTGGGGAAACTAAATTTGTAGACTAAATTTGCAAACTAAATGATGTGTCACCAATAGGAAATGAGCACATTTATCAACGTTTAAGTAATAATCTAATCATTAACTTGTCATTTATTTTACAAAATTTAGTCTCCCTAACATTACTCTAACAAAAAATATATTACACACACACACACACACACACACACACACACACACACACACACACCAAATTGTCATATACAAAAGCAATAATTAAACTAGCCAAATTTAGAGCCTAACATTGTGTTCCATCCCATCCTAAGTGCCAAGCTCCAAGAACTTGAGGAAGCTCCTTGATATCAACCACCTTTCTCTTTTTTTATGTAACTCATAATGCATGCACTTCATGCAAACTAATTCTTTTCTAGGACGTTCTTAAACAAGAGCATTGCTCCTATTTATAGAAGAATGAGGTGGCTACATGAAATCTGTAATTCGATGATAATTGCGGCTAGGTGGTGGCGGCATTTGACACTACTAGAATTTTGGCTAAAAGACATCCTTTTCATTGGTGTCTATTATAAAGAGTGGGCACTTACATTAGTGACAAACCTCAATTGCCACCAAATAACCACTAAATAAGAGTACATGTCCTATGTAGAAGTCTTTATTGTTACAAACACCACCAATATTGCATT